CACGGTTGTTGCGTTTCCAGTAGGGCTGGTTTAGGCTAACGTGTACTTTTCCACCTTTTTTCTGGCCCTCCAACAACCGGGCTGAATATACTAAACTAGTGACGTAAACACTCTCGACTGCTGATTGGTCAGAGAGAATCGCTGGCAAGGGCTACAACTACAACAAGATGAACACATTTGACCGTGATTTAATTGTAATACACGTTTCAAAATGATGCCGAAGTAACAACATACTGATACCGGTTAGTAAAAACCATGAATTAATGCTTTGACAAGTCTGCAGACAGACGGCAGGCGAAACACCTTTTAAAATGTGTGTTTTCTGAATGGAGATCGGCTAAGCTAACGCAGTATATGCTCCGACCCTCCACACTCACAACAACGGCCTACAGACAGAAATAAACCAGCGACTGTATTCTCCATGACACAGACAGTCTGTGGTTTGGACTTGTTTAACTTTGGTCTAGTTTCTGAACAGATATGAGGAGCTGTGAGCTCTGAGTGCTAAGAGCTAACGGCTGATTTTGGTTTTGTGGTTCGCATTGAAGATGACGTCACGGCAGTTTTACGCAGCGTCGTTCCGCCCGCCGAACGCCCCGCCTACACTGGGTTACTATAGTTACTACCCCTGTTACTAAACTGTAATGGAAACGCAGCATAAAGTGAGCCTGGCCTACCGAGGCCTAACCATACCGAACCAAGCCGTGCGAGGCCCTGCAGTGGAAAAGCGCCAAAATGTTCGCTCACTATATTCATGCTCTTCTGGATCCAGTCAAATCTGCTTTGAGATGATCTTCTTTATCCTCGTACCTCTTCCCAGAACACCTTCATCTTTCTGATATGCTTTTCTCCTTTCTACATATTTTTAGCTGCTGCTAGTCAATTAAAACTGATTGTTTCTATTAACAACTCCAACCTTTGAGAAACACAACTCATTATTGTTTGTCTCTTTTCTCCAGGAGGTAGCCAGTTCCAGAGTTCAGCTCCAGTAAATATCCCGGGATCCTTTAGCAGCTCCGCCCCTTTTAGCTCGCCTTCGCCTTCTCCACCAATCAGGACGCACTCTTCGCCTTTCTTCTCCACGCCCCTCTCACAGCCCAGCCAATCAGAGAGCACCTTCCTGGGACCGTCGCACAGCTCGTTAGGTTGGTGGAAATATAAATGTCTTGTATTTTATTTAGTCTTCTCCTGCAACCCCAAGGGAACGCCTGAGCAGAACATGTCCTCTTTTAGGTTTTGAAGTGAAAAGTTAATCTACATTTCTATCCCTTCTGCCTGCAGGTCTGAATGGTATGAGCAGTAATATCTGGGAGCACTTCCCCTCGGGGCGGGGCTCTCCGGGGACCCCCCCCACGCTGCTGTCTTCAGGGCCGTGTGCAGAAACCCCTCGTCTGAAGCAGGAGCTGGAGGAGGCGCAGAGGGCGCTGAAGCAGTGGAGCCACAGCTGGAGGCACTCAGCTCAGGTGGGTAGGTAGTGGGGCGAGAGGGAGAGAAACAGCCACAAGGTTTAACTTTATACTAAAGATAAATTATTCGGTAGGTATTTTATGTCTTTTCTTTTATCCTATCAAGCCTAAGAAAATGCAAAAATCTTAAAGGTCCCATGTCATGCCTTTCTGGTTATTACCCGTCCCCTTGTCTGTTAGGTAGCTTTCTCTGCATGTAAGCGGGTCACAAACCCTCAAAGTACACCCTGAGTAAAACTCCCCAGAACGCCTCGTTGGATATTTCTCTTTTTCGTCCTGGGTCCAGTGACGTGACCATACCCAAATGGACCAATCCCTCAGCACCCCCCCTTCCCGCGTCCATGAGTTCCACGGTGTCTCGCTGACCCCACGCAGCAAGCAGGAAACAACACCAGTAACCAGCTCACACTGTCCGCTCCACACAGCGAGCCCCCCAACGTCCCGCCAACACGGCACCCAGACTAGGGTTGCATATCGTTGACTTTTTTACGATACCGATACCACTGAACGATACCCATACTCAACCGATACATATCGTGATACTTTGAAAATGTATCATCCCACAATTACTCCCATGAAGCGCTTTACGATATAGTTAACATGTCAAATGAATATTACATTCAATTGTGGGACTTCTTGGACCTTTTAGTAGGCTACTGAACAAACAATGAAAAATACATTAAAGATATGAAGAAAACCGATTATGGAATATCTTTTGATAACACCCGCCATCAGCTGTGCCGCGTGAATAGCACATCTTGTCAATGCAAACAGACCGTTATAGCACCGTTATAATTAATGTTAAACCTGAGATTCGACTAGAGAACAAATAAATAAAGAATAATGGTCATGAGATCTCGGCATTGCACAAACAAACAAATCTCATCTTTAAAATCAACATTTGCCTTCACTGGTGAGAGAAAACAAATCCCATCAGTTCATTTGTGGGACTTACCTTTCTAGTATTGAACAAACAATGAAAAATA